CTGCCACCTCTGACTACATCATAACGCTGTTCACGTCTGGGGCCAGGCTTCTTCCTTACTTGTGGGCACCCCAGAGCCTACACAGAGCGGAGCATTTAAATGACAAGGTTGTTTGAGTGGATGGATGGAGTTTTGCATTTGAATGATCAAGGCAGCCTCAAGCTCCACAGGGACAAAGAGTCCTCCCCTATGAGGTTGTCAGTGCTCCATCCTATGCTTTTTGGTGGCCACCATAATTCCTAGCAGGTGCTAAGTAAATGGGGAAGGAGGAGGGAAGGAAGGAGGAGAGAAAGGAAGGAATAGAGATCAGTAAACAGAGAAGTAGATGAATAGATAGAATCAAACTGGTTTGTAGCCAAACAAGGTAGGGAGGCAGGAGGGCGTATGAGAAAGTAGGCCTATTACTGAGGGTTATTTGGTAGGAAGGCAGGTAAATAAGTTGATACATAAACATATGGGTGACTAGGTGGGTAGGAAAATTGATAAATTGATGAGCAGACATGAGAAGAAAAGTCTATATAATGCACAGGTTGAAGATACACATGGATCAATCGAGAAGCAGACATGAGCCGGTGGGCAGACAGACCAGGCAAGCCTGAGGGCAGGCAGGTGGAGAGACAGATGGACAGTAGGCTAGGACACAGGTGAGCCACAGGTGAGCCACTCAAGCAACAGAGAACAGACACCGCCCCTGCTTGGGTCGGGTGCCAGGCGGGGAGGCAGGCTGCATAAGGAACAGGCTGGCCGGGGAAAGCCTGTGGAGAAGCGCCAGCTTCCGGGCACATATGCTTTTCCTTCTGCGGCTCCTGGGGCGAAGCTGCAGCGGGTCTGGGTGCCTGGGAAGCAGCCCAAGGGGAAGGGACGGAGTCCCCGTCGCCAGCGCATCTCCTCCCAGGAGGCTAAGGAGCCTGCTGGAGCAGGGCAGGGGCTGGTTCTTGGGAAAGGGAGGCTGGAGGGCAGGAGGATGCAGCCTCTCCCCTCTCCCGCCAACCACAGCTCTGATTTCTCTCACCCCCAAGGCCAAACGGGGGAGGAAGCTGGAGGGGGAGGGCTGGCAGCCTGTGCTGCCTTCCAATAAATCAGGCAACATCTCTTAGAAGGAACCCTTGTTCTCTGGGAAGTTCCTGGAAAAGAGGCCTCATGGACAAAAACACCGCGTAAGGAGAACACAGAACAACAGAAACAACAAAACAGAACCAACGCAAACAGTAAAACATAAAACCCTGGCAGGGGTGCCCCGTGGCCTCTGCAGAAAAGGCACCTCTGTGTTTCCCGTGCCATTGCCACACTCAAGGCCAGCCGGTCCGCGCTCGCTTGCAGCTGTCCTTCTATTCACCTCGGGCTTGTGGTTGCCTCAAACACCAGCCCCGGGCTGTTGAGTCAGAACCAGCTTTCTCTTGCCGGGAATGGATGTGCCTCGCATGGGACGGCGTCCCTGAACCCTTAGAACAGCGACTCTGAGTGCTATTACATTATCACCTCCATTTTACAGATAGGAAAGCTGAGGCCCAGGGGAGCCCCGGGAAGTGCTCAAAGTGGTCCCTCTTGGAATCAGGGGTCCAGGACTGGCATTCGGGCCATCTGAGGGCACAGCCCACATGCTTATTCAATGTGCCAATCCCAGAATGGGGGACACGTGGACTCATTTCTCGTAGGCACAGAGCACCCAAGCATTCAGCAACTCAGCACTGTGTTTTGCATGCAGTAGGTGTCTAGATACTATTTGGAGCCCCCAGTGAGACTGCAGAAATGATTGTTTTCTTGGCACTTCAAAGCCCTGGCTTATTTCCCCCCGCTCAAGCCTCCTTGTCTGGCGTGTATTCCGGGCCACCTCACGCCAGGTACTGCCTCGAATGGTTTTCCAGTTGCTGTCTCATTTAACCCTCACTACAGTCCTGGGAGATTTGCATCAGCGCTCCCATTTTAGAGATGAAGGCACTGAGGTTCAGAGTGGCCCACGGCTTGTAAGTTGCAGAGCATGGCCTGAGATCCAGAGCTGCCCAGCTTCCAGCCTGGCTCTTGCTCTATCACCACCCGGCCTACTCGGCCTAGCGCCCCCGCCCGCCCTGGCTTCTGGTTATCCTTCCAGGTGTTTGATTTCCCACGGAGGCTAAGAGTTCCTTCGGGGCAAGGGCCTTGACTTTCAGGCCCCTCCAACCTTTCCTGGGGCTGGGTGCCCATGAGCTGCTGTGCGTGGCACAGAGCCAGCCCCTCACGGCCACATCCCCAGCCGTGGGCGCCCTGCACCCTTGCAGAGGAGGCTCTGCAATGTCTGAAGGTGCCTTCTGAATCATCCGGCTACTTTCAGTCTGAAGGCTGCCTACTTATTTCGGATAGATTTACGGTATCTTCTTGGGCTGTTTAGAAGAGGAAGCCAAGCAGAACGTACTACAATAGGCCTGGACCCGTGAGACCCAGCAGCCCCCTTCCGCAGGCCATGACCTGAGGCAAAGCACTTAGCTTCTTCGTGCCTCAGTTTACTCGTTTGTAAAGTAGAAATAATGGTAGTACGTGAACTGTCTATCCATCCCTCCACCCACCCATCCACCCATCTGTCCATTCAACATTCTATAAATACATATGGGTCACCTGCAGGTGCCCAGGCCCCGTGCCAGGCACTTGGGATACGCCGCGACCCAAACACAGACCCACGTCCACATGGGGCTTATTTCCCGGAGGGGGAGTCAAACAACAAGCGCCACACACGATCCAAAACTAAAATACATACAAGGTGGAAAAGAATTGCAATCCGGGGAGGGGGCTCGGAGGGTGGGAGGGGAGCGTCCATTCTAAATGGGAGGCTCAGGGTAGGTCTCATCAATAAGGCAACGTTTGAGCAAAGAGTTGAAGGACGTTAGGGGGCTGGCCAGGAGGATACCTGGAGAAGAGCGCTCCAGGTGGAGGGAACGGCACGTGCAAAGGCCCGGGGGCAGAGAGCGTGCTGGCGTGTCTAGGGGGAACTCACAGGGCCCGTGCGGCTGGAAAAGGTGAGCAGGGCCCAGGGGAGTAGCGAGTGAGAGTGGGGAGGGGATGAGGGCTGGATTGCGAAGGGCCCTGTGGCCCAATGTCCGGATTTAGCTTTTCCTCCGGGTGACAATAGGGGCCAACACAGCACTGAGAGCAGCAGAGCCAAGTCATTACAGGGTGGTTGAGAGGGAGGGTCACAAAACCCCACGCGGATGATTCCCTTTTCTGAGCCCCCCTGGAAACTGAAGTCAGTGGCCTTTATGTCCAATCCATGCGATTCTCTTTCCCTGTCCCCTCTTCCTCTCTGAAGGCTGTCTGCGGCACACCTGCCCGCTGTCCCAAGCCAGGCCTGGCAGCCCTGGAGAGAGCCCTAGGTGGGGGGGGGGCAGGGAGGGGGGGTCGTTGGGGTGGGAGGGCAGAGAAAGAGATTTGTCCCGCTCCGAGTCCCAGCTCCGTGAAGACCACACCACCGTGAGCACAGTTCCACTTTCTGGAGGCACGTGGCATCAGAAATAAAAATATGACATCCCCAGGGAGGAAACAGAGTCAAATAACAGGAACCAGAAAGCAGGGAGGGAGGGGCCGAGGGGGCGGGCCGCAGCCCTGCAAAGACCCTGCGGACAGGATGCCGTGGCTCCTCCCCCAGGTGGCATCTGCACCCCACCAAGGCCACACCGGATGCTCACACCAAAGAAGACGATTCCGGTGGCAAAGATGCCACCCTGCTCCCCCCCACACCCCCCGTCTGCAGGGGTGAGGAGGGAGAGAGTGAAGGACGCATCCTAGGGACCACGGAAAACACCTAGGCGGGAATTTAGCCCCAAGAAAAGCCAACCCCATATAAGCTGATGTCTTGGCGGAAGACTTGGAGAACGCCAGCGTCGCCCTGGTGCCTGAGGCCAGGCCACCAAAGGGCATTTTAGTCCCTCAAGGCCAGGTTGAGTAGGAAAAGCTTCCGTCTTAGCTCCAGCCTTCACCCCTTCCCACGCAGGGACCCGGGGCAAGTTGCATCACCTCTGGGCAGTCCTGTCTTCTTCTTTAAATGCTAAATAGGGATGGCGATCACTGAAGGGAGAACCGAGAGGGTGGCAGGCTGTGCCCGGCACACGGCAAATACACAGTGTTAATGTTGCCGTCACCATCTCAAGGTTTGCTTGGAGAAGGAGGCAGAACAAGCACTGTCTTTACAAAGTTGCAGCATTGCAATGAGGTGAGCACCCCTTCCCGACTGGGAAGGACCGTCTGGCTGTAGGAGGAGCTAGGGATGCCAGCAGGAACCCCAAGGTGCAGCTTGTCTCTGTGGTTTAAGACGCGGGAGTGTCATCCACACTCTTTGAAAAAGTGAGACACTCATTCTTTCTCTCCCTGTGGGCTGTTCTTGTTCTCTCTTTCCCCCCAGATTCTCCCTCTTTCTCTTCCTCTGTCCGTCTCTCCCTTCCTCCCTCTCCCCCTCGCTTCCTCTCCCGGTCTCAGTCTCCCTGTCTCTTTCCATGTCTAGCTCTCCCTTCCTTTCTCTCTGTCCCTGTCTGTCTCTCTCTGCCTCACGGACACCCCCCGCACACATGCATGCACAGGCAAATACACGCACGTGCACACCTGCTTGTGCACGCACACCCACACGCACACGCGTGCACGCCGGTGTCCTCTGCTCTCCAGCTCTTTGACTCTTCCTCTCTGGGCACCCCATGTCTCTATTTGTGACCCGCACTGATTGCGCCTGCATCCGCCTTCCCCACTGGGCTGCGAGCCCGGTGAAGGCAGGGGCTGGTCTGCCCGCCTGGGCAGCCGCGGTGCCGGCGTGTCGTGGGGGATCAGGGAGGGAATGCCGCAGGCGTGCGGTGGGGTTCCCGGGCTGGGAGGCACACCCAGCAAGGCAGACTGAGCTTTCCAAGTCCCCGCCGCTCCTTCCAGCTCGCTAGACACCCGAGCCTGTGCAGTCTGCCTCCCCAGTGATGTCCCTTTCAGACAGCCGGGAAGGTGCTTGAGCTGCCTACGGCCAGTCATTGCTCCTTGAGGGAAAGGTGCCAACTTACCGCCATGGTCCCTAAGGCCGGGGCTCCTCTTGGCCGCGGGGGCCTGCAGCCCGCTCCAGGCCCACTCCAGGAGGGCCAGGTCCAGGTCTCCTTTCTCCATCAGGGTCAAGGAGATCTTCCTGGCCAGAGCCTCCCCGTCGGGCTCGTGGAGCAGGGCACGGTGGTACTCCCTGGAGAGAAGCTGCTCCTCCAACAGGCTGTCCAGGAGGGCCCGCACCTGGCTCGGCAGGTGGCTGGACAGCAGCCTTTGCACCTGGGTCAGGATGGCCTGGAAGTGATTCATGGTGGCACCCGGAGGCAGGGCAGCCGCCTAGGCCGGAGCCCGGGATCTCCGCTCACCCGACCTACAGCATCCAAAACATGAAGTGAAAATCAGGACGAGGGAACCTCTGCAGTTTATTGCAGCTCATTCCTGCTTAGGAAGATTTCCTCATTTGCGTTGTAGGCTGGGGCTCCTGACAAGCGGACGGAAACGGGCTCTCGGGTTGATTCAGACCCCACAGATATTTGCTGGGTGCCACCCACGGGCGTGTGCCAGAGAAAGCCCACAGCCTCGGGGATTCCGTGTGATTCAATCGAGTATTGACTGAGAGGAGGGGAACCTGCCTCTGTAGAGGACCTATACGGTGATGAGTCTTTTCGGATGCTCTATCGCGGCAAGAAGGCATTGTGGCAGGGAGGTTAAGGCAGATGGGGTAGACAGTAATCTGCTTGGGTTCAAGTCCCAGATCCACCTCCTGCCAGTTATGTGACCTTGTGCAAATCACCTCGCTTTTCTTAGCCTCCATTTCATCTGAAAACGTGGAGTGATATAACAATACTTATCTCATAGGGTTTGGGGGAGGATTAGATGAGATAACATATATATATAAACATATAGATCATTTAGTGCATTTCCTACAACAATATGAGCCATTGTTATTATTACTAATTATGCAAACAACTGTCACCTGGAGTTTAACCTCGCTAAACCTCAATCTCTTCCTCTGCGAAATTTCCCAATAAAAGCAATCCAATCCCATTGAATTGTCTAGAGGATTAAAACAGACAATGCATTTAAGGAATTTAGCACCGGGCCTCGTAATCGCTTAATGAACACGGACTATTTGCTAAGATCATTCCCAATAAAAATATTAGTATTGTTTCGTGCAACATTGCTAATGCACAAAACAAAGGATTTGCATAGGAAACAGTCTGTTTTGCGGTTCTAAAAATCCCCAACCTGTTTTTTTTTTAAAAAACCATAGCTGTTTGATCTCCCTGCCCGTTCTACAGCACACCATGACCTTGTTCCCTCTCCCGGCCTCAGCTTTACCATCTCTCCAATGGGACCATTTGCATCGTTCATTTAAGTGAGACAAAGAAGGATTCCCACTTCCAGGATGGCTGAGTAGCTCCTATGCGACCAACTCTACCACAGATGACAGCCGTAAACTCTGGGGAAAATATAAAAAACAACTATCTGGAGGCCCTGGAGAGTGACAGAACAGGCAGATACTGGAAAGGAATCAACACATGGAGAACGAGAACACCACTGGTGGATTTCCCAGCTCATGAGTTTGGTCTGAAGGCAGGTCCCAACCAGTGCTGCGAACAGCAGTTAAAACTTTGATTTTTAAAAAGGGAAGTTTTACTGTCCTAGATAACCGGAGGACAAAATTTGGGGCAAAAATGACTGCTGGAAAGTAGCAATCCCAAAGAGGAGAGACACAGAGAGGAACAGCCCCAAATTCTGTGCATAAACTGTCCAAATGTCAATATCTGGCTGACCCTGGACCAGGTGGGTCATCACAGCGCAGACTCCAAGCAGCTCAGCTACAGCCGAAGGAGCTGAACTGAGATGTGAGTTGCAGGACAGTAGACTGGGGGTAAGAGATTTTGCATTTCATTCCAGCCATGTTATGTCCCTACTGAAAAAAAAAAAACAACAGAAATATTAATACTGTTCAGATTATAACAGAATCCAGAGTGTTTATAACATATTCCTAATGTCCCATATAGAATCCAAAATTACTTGACACATGAAAAAATAAGAAACCCATTTTCAAGAGGAAATTAATGGAAACATACCCCAAGATGACCCAGATATTGAAATTAGCAGACAAAGGTTTTTAAAGTAGTGATTATAACCATGGAGGGTAAACATAAAAGATGTAAAGGAAAATATTCCCATAAAAATGAGAAGATAGGAAATGTTGGCATAAAAATAGAAATAAATAAAAAATAAGCAAATAGAAATTATTAAAGTAAAAGTACCATATATGAAAGTTTATAAGTCACTGAATGGCGGCTAGGTGTGGTGGCTCACACCTATAATCCTAGCATTTTGAGAGGCTGAGGTGGGAGGGTCACTTGAGGCCTGAAGTTCAAGACCAGCCTGGGCAATAGCTAGACATCATCTATACAAAAAATAGAAAACTTAGCCAGTCATGGTGGCATGCACCTGTAGACCCAGCTACTTGGGAGGCTGAGGCAAGAGGATCTGTTTTAGCCCAAGAGTCTTAGGTTGCAGGGAGCTATGATGATACCACTGCACTCTAGCTGGGGTGACAGAGGAAGCCTATGTCTCAAAAAAAAAAAAGTTACTGGATGGGATTAACAGCAAAATGAGATAGAAGAAGAAAAAGAAATTTTAAGATGGGGCAATATAGAATATTAAATTTGAATGATGGAGAGAGAAAGATTTTTAAAAATGAGCCTCAAGTGTCTGTGGGACAATATGAAAAGGTTCAACTACATATATGAAGTCACAGAAGGAGAAAAGAGAGAATGGGTCACAAAAAAAATATTTGAAGAAATAATAGCCAAAAAATTTTGCTGGAAGGAGTGGAGATTTGAGAAGCTCAGCACATCAAAGCAGGATAAACACAAGAAACCCACACCTAAGCATGTGATAGCCAAACTGCTGAAAAGCAAAGCTCAAAAGAAACTTGCAAAACCAGCCACCTCCAAACGACATGTTAAATACAGGAGAGCATTTGAACGATCACCGACTCCTCATTAGAAACCATAAAGGCCAGAAGATAGTAGAACAATATCTTGGAAGAGCTAAGAAGAAAAACAAAAACTGTCAACACAGAGTTCTACATTCAGCGAGGATATCCTTCAAGAATGCAGACAAAAATAGACATTTTCAGATAAACAAACCCGGAAATAATGTGTCGCAGCAGGCCTGCGTTACAGGACGATGGAACAGCAAACATCAGGTGCACAGAACCCGGGGCGAGTCGATTCTAGTCACTTGTTCCCATCAATCCAGCCACCACCTGTCATGTGCTTAGGCAGGAAAACCTGGGTGCCAGCCTGCACCGGACCACTGACTCACCGTGCCACCACAGACAGGACACTTCCACTCTCTGGACCACAATTTCGTCACCCATGAAACACGCAGGTCGGATTACGTGATCCCTAGGACTTCTTTCACTTCTGAAATACTACGGATTTCAGGGAGGTGGTGCCCAGTTGCAGAACCCCGTGATCACAGAGCTCAGCGATATTCCCCCGCAATCAATCACGCGTGCGGTATCTCTCCCGACTTCTGTTATTCAGTTTCCCTGTATGATATTCCCCCCTCAAAATCACATGCACTCTTTCTACCTAATATTTTGCTTTAATCTGACTCCGTTTAATTTATTTTAAAAGGAAATTCTATATCTTTACCACAATTGGAAACTCAGTGTCCTTTGTACAAGAATGGTAGGCAAGAAACACACACACAGAGTGTAAAATGAGGAGAGTTTAGGTTTCTGTTTGTTCAAGGTGCTGATCCCAAGGTCTAATCTCTCCTTAGTGACAAAGGGTGATTAGCAAGTGTTAGGAAAGTGTAAAAGATAGAATGGCACCATGCTGTCTTGCATAGAGATGGGAAAATGTTAAGGATATAGAAAAATGGGGACTCAGTCCTGTCTGCTGGGGAGCATGCAGTCACTTAGGGTAGCAATATGGCAATACCTACTAATAATTAAATAATACTCAGGGTTTCCACTCTTTGGTATATATGCTAGGGAAATTCTCACACTTGTGTATTATGACACATGAAGCAGCTTTGTTTGTGATAGCAAAAAAAGTCAGAAGTAAAAAATTAGCACAAGAATAGATACCAATGCCTTTTATAAACATTCTGGAGTACATATAGCTTTAATGGTTTAAACTTAATGGACCCAGTCAAAGTGAAGGAAGTCGATGTCTGTTAAAATGAAGTTATTCAAATAAATTATACAGTGGGATAGAGAGCAAGTTTTAAAGGTTTAATCATTGAGTCTTATAATTGCCTCTCCTTCTGTTTCCTAATAGTAAAGTGTTACATGTAAAAGTAAATCCATAAGCTGTGACCTGATACTGTTTTATTTCTAAGGCGATAGAACCAACTTTGGCTTTTTTTTTTTTTTTTTTAAAGAAGAGACTCTTAAAACAGGTTGCTAAAGGTTTGTAATTCAGATACAGGTATTCTGGAATCTTCTCCTCATGAGCTCACCTGCTAGTATAATCGCCACACCTTTGGTGACATTGGTCATTTATGAATGCCCACCTGTAATTCCTCCCAGAATCATCATAAATTATGTGCCATCAGGGCTCTCTTTGACTGCCCTTCGACAGAAAACTGATAATTTTAAAGAAAATTCTGTTTGTCTTTATTTGTATTGAAGGATAGTGTCTTTAAATTGTTTCTGTCTGTCAATTCCACAGGGTAAAATGACAAAATTAAACCTGCCTCAAGGATAGTAACTATTTGGACCATGGAAACATGTTGGAGGGTTTGAATTCCATTCCCAATTCTAGTTGTGTACTACATTTCTTTAAATTATTTGATTATTGAGCTGGGCACAGTGGCTTGTGCCTATAGTCTTAGCTACTCGGGAGGCTGAGGCAGGAGGATCACTTGAGCCTAGGATTTTGAGGCTGTAGTGTGCTATGATCATGCCACTGCACTCCAGCCTGAGTGACAGAGCAAGATCCTGACTTAAAAAAAATTTATTTGATTACTGTTACAAAGTTGGATGGCTTTGATTGCTAGTTGTAAATTTCTATATATGGTGTCTAAGGCTTCAGGTTGTCTATCTCTGAGAGGAAGACTTTGTATTTAATAATATTTATAAATAGTGAAAATTATACTGTGCATATCTGTAATTTCATCCTTGAATCACATGACTTGATTAAGTCCTTCCTCCTGATACCATGCACAGAGTCAGTTAAGCCCTTGGGATGTTTCATATGGCTGTAAACTTTGGCAACATGAAAATAATGTGTAAAGTAACATTTTTATGATTGCAGAGTTAAAGTTAATGAGTTTTATTAGTGAAAGTTGAAACTCGACATGCATGAACAAAAAGCAATAAAAAAATAA